AAACTCTAGGCCCGTTCCACTTTGGTCGCATTCATACACAGGTTACGATTGGCTAACGAGAAGTGCAACAGTTCCGCTTCTACCACGGTATTCATCGGGTCTCTCTTCACCTCGGTGACACTCTCAAGTTGGGACAGAACGTCCTTGAGGACGCGATGACAACCTCAGCGACTGGATGCCAAGCATGACAAAAGTCTCCCGGCTGTTGTTTCGCCGGTAGTCCATCTGAGGGCCCATCCGTCTTTGCTCTCCCTGGCGCGCATCCCAAATCACCTCCAAGATTGTCTGAGATGTCGAACCTATCCGACATCCGAACTCTTCACGAGTCCCTCTGTTTCTCCTGCAAGTCAGTGGCTGAAACCAAACATTGGCCCAGAGTCTCATGAAATGTCAAAATCACTTTCGGCTTCTCTCAAAGAGCTAATTTGCCGATTGTTTGGACTAGGAGCACGTGCCTCCATTCTCACGACATCCAATGTTTGGTCCCATGGCTCCTGAGTCCAAGCTCCCAGTTGCCGAGACAGCGTTTCTTGAGAGAACCGGGGCACTATGGGCTGTTTGTTCGTGTTCTTGCGAGTACGCGAGGGTGGGTCTGCTTGCACTAGTCGCCTTGGACGTTGCTACAGTCGGCGACTGATGCTCCAGACCCATCTCGGCTCAGCAGGCAGGCTTGCGAGGAGAGGGCAAGGTTTGGTCCCTTTGCCACACTCGAAAATCAGGTATTACCTGGGGGTCCCGCCCAATTCGGCCTGAACGGTGTTCGTCCTAGATCGGAGGTACTATCCAGTGGGCTGCAGCGGCCTCTCTTGGGGGTCAAGGGGGCAAGATGAGATCTTGGCTTGCTAGCAGTGGCCGTCTAGTGGGAGGGATGTCATGCGGGCTGCCCAGTACGGTTTGAGCGTCACAGCACACGCATCGTCTCACCCTCCTGGTCACGGCCCCTTGAGTCGATTCGGAAAGCCAGTGAGGCTTCTCTCGAGCCCCAGCACGTTGCCTTGCAGCAACCTTCCGGTCATCCCGGGAGCTGTGCCGCTGTGAGTGCAGGGACTCGGCCACCACTTGTGATGGTTGCGAAGCTTAGGCATGCTTTCTACTGGTGTGGGAGGTGTCCGAGGGACGATGCCATCGGTGTTACCGCCGTGTGTCATTTGCCTCCCTTTGCCTCCCCTGCGCAGCCTCGGTCATGAGCTGACGAAGATGTCGTGATGTGGAACCACGGCAATAGGATTGCTAACGGCTTGCAACGCAGATCGAAACGATCAGCAAACTTAGTCCCGTTTCCTGTCTTGGGCTCAAACTAAACAAACTGCCGTGAGAGCTCCTTTTCCAGACGGCATGTCATGCTCACCGCGCATGATGTAACATGTACGGGCAAAGGGACGTGAAACAAACAGCTCCCTTGAAACAAACAACCGCTCCGTCTCGCATCGTTCTATCGGATTGGGGGAAGTGATGGGCGGGAGCTGGGATCGAGATCCACGTCTTCAGACGAGGACAGCGGTGACGGTGAAGGCGAAGACCGGCCAGCACTGATCACAATGAGGCCAGACAAACAGAAGTTAGTGCTCCGGTCTCTGACCTAGCGGCTGACCTTCGGCAACTCAGAACAGCGTTTGTTGCCATCTGTTGGTGAGTCAGGAGAATCAAGAGAAAGGGTACCCTGATCACCTCCCAACCACTTGGCGCCTTGTTCGTGCGGTCCCGTCTTTGGACGACAAGCGTTGAGAAAGACAGCGGGAAGTCATTTCGGTCTGGCCTTCAGCAGAATTTGGCCTGATATGCTGTTCCCATACTAGCGAATCTTAAAGCCCGGAATCTGGCCTTGATTCTTACAGTGCCCGGGTCCGATAGTCGATCAATATGTGGTCTGACATGGTCCCTCTACTCATCTTCAGACGACTTCTCTTGAAGGAAGCAATCACACTCACGTCGTCTTGTGGACTGATCCTCGTCTCATAGAGTGTAAGATTTGCCCCTGACCCACAACCGCCACTTCCAAACCTTCACAAGAAGCTTGCAAAATGTCGTGCCTGACATGGCGGCGACCAAACCTCGAGTGGGGTACGTCTTTGCACAGTCCTACGCACCACACTCACTTTTCACTGCTCCTTGCAGGTCGCAGTCCTCAGACGTGTCACAACGAGTTGTTGGGTGCGCGGCAGGGCGACGCTAGGGCGGGTTCTGAGGTGGTGCAGGCCACCGCGGAGGCGGGTGGGCGAGCACCTCTGCAGCAATGGGTGGGATGAACGTTGGGATTGGGCTGGTGATAGGATGGATTGTGCACTTTATCATCCTCATAGGACACACTCGATATAGTTGTAGACCGTAATAGAGTAGTAGGTCTCTCCGTGACAGAATAAGTAATGCTGCGGTCATAGATTGAAATTGGAACGAATTGCTGATATCAGCAATACTTTATCTCATACGCTATCTTCGTGAAAGTCGATCAGCTGGCAATTTTTATATGCTCGCTTCCGCTGGTCCACCAACCCCATTGAACCTGGAAGGGCCACTCTCTGTAGTCGTTGTTACGGGAGCAATATAGTGCAATCAATGACAGAGGCCTTGCCATAGTCAGGGCAGGCTTTCACCAGACACTGCTCGGTCAGGATATAAGCCAATCTCAAATCTGCGTAATCGTTTAGCCTTCCACGAACCCACTGTACCAGTATCGACTATATATGCATACACACAGGTATGCATATGTGCGACATGAGCCTTCAAGCCACGCGCGCGCACACGCGCACACATTGCTGCGCGTAGCGAGCACACCCACCAAGCATGTTTGATAGTCCTCGTTCACCTCCCTCTCATTCGTTTGCAATTCCTTGGCGGTTTGCCTGCCAGTCCGCACACCGGTCCTGTTGCCTCTACGTCTCTCAGCAGCCCTTTCCCCTACCTGCCATAATAAACGCGAAGCATGCTATATCAATGGTGCTGATAGGGGACCGACATGAAACTCATCGGTGCGCCACACGACCTCTGCGGGAAGGAACAGAAGGAACGGGTATTTGATCCCTCCACGCGTGGCCCGACCCGCCGGGCGGCCGCGTCATCTCACCGTGGGTGAGATGGGGGAACCCATCGATGCGGGTCGCTGACGCGGGTCGCTGTGGGATTCAAGGCTGTAGGATTAGGGGGGTTTATTGGAGTGGTCCTGCTATGTGGACGGCCTATCGGGGTGTTTTTTTCCGTCGGTGGCAGCCGCACAACACCTGGTGGCTCGTACCAGTGGGATGGGTTGTGGTCGACATCTTGGGTCCTGTGAGACCCTCAGAACATTGGTGGGATAGGCCTTCTTTTCTGTCCCACACCCACGCCCCGCGCCGGCCAACTGGAGGGGCCCGGCTGAGGCGGTGGCGTCTGACGCTGCTGTGTAGCCGTTGCACAGCGAGGGTGCCCTCCTGGGTTGGTCGCACGTGCAGATGCGCCTGCACGGAAGGGCGGCTGGTGATCGGTGGCGACGGATTGGCTGGCTTCTTTCCGCGGGCTGGGGCACATGGTGACACTGCTTGATAGTTGATCATCGCGGAGGGAGTTAATCTTCCGGAGAGGGTGCGGAACGCTGGAGTGTGCAAGGGCTGAGTTGGTGAATGTATTTGCCCGGCCCTGGGTCAACTGTTGCACGGCAGCGATACTGCAGGCCGAGCGAGAGGGGCGGACGGCTGCCAGCGTCAAGTGGACGCTTTCGAGGTGGACAATGACGGGGGCAGCCCTCGGTATGCCGCATGGCAGCATGGCATGACTGTTCGATCGCACAAGAGGACCCAGTGATGATGTACAACGGGCTTTTGATTGTGAAATCGAAAGTCAATGTGCTTTCTGCGTGGAGAATACCTTGAATGCGGCGAGCTCTCTCCCCTTGTCTTCTCTATGTGTCTCTCTTGAAGTCCGGGTGAGCAAGCCCAGGTGCAAAAGAACATTGCAAACACCATGCTCCTAGCCGCACAAGGACGTGAGAATCTGACCGCCGGCAAGTGCCAGCGAGATCGAAGGGCGGGCTCTCGGCCAGGCAATCAGGCCACACGAGTGTGTCCCTGTGAGGAAGCCGACGAAGGTAGACGGCTGCCAGATCGGTGGGCAATGCTTGGGGTCGTAACTTTACCGAGCACACATGTGGGCGTCCGGGGTGTGTGACCAGCTACAGTCATACAAGTTTGGTAAGTGGACATGGGCAAGGATGAGGGAAACGTCCCTAGACATATTTCGGTGAAGAAGTGAGTGGTAGACAAACAGCGGGGCAGTCAGGCTCAATTTCAGGACTAATATGTGTGCGCCTCATGTTGAGGGTTCGGGAAGGGCATCTGCAGATGCTTTTGAAAGTAAAAGGAAATGGCGGCTGCCTGCGTGTGTACTTAGCCGTGGTTATGTTTAAGCGACACAGTACGTAATCGATATTTCCGAGTCAGGCGAGGTACTATCCCAGGAAGGTGATCCTGCAGATATCATCCTACAGAGAGCAGTCTATCCCAGAAGAGATTGTCTGAGAAAAGCGTTATCTCAGAGGGGGTTGTTCCAGAGGAGACTGTCCCAGAGGAGGCTTTCTGAAAGGCAGTTGTCCCAGAACAGATTATCCCAATGGAAGTTATCTAGAAGATATAAACCAATCAGAATCTACACAGTTGGATGTTAATCTACCGTGACTTGAGTTAGGCATAGACTTCGAGGATTTCTAGGAGCTGTGTCAACGTTATGTCATGAAGATGTACGTGGAATAGGAGCTTACCGCTGATCTAAACATGTTGAGGTCTTTTTACATAGTGCTGGTCAATGAGGTGACAGCCCACAGCATGCAAGAAAAGGCCGTGGATTTCGAGACAAGAAGATGTTGGTTGTTCGTAAGACTGTGGCCGTTTGTTACGTATGTCAATGGCAGAGAAATCAGGAACTCAGGAATAGTGGTAGAAGGAAAAGATCTGTTAGACACAAGTCTCCTATGAAAATTCCATTCCAAAGCATTAGGGTATCAACCGTCCGATTCCACAAAAAACTCCTTGTCATCAAAGCACGTCGGAGTCATCATCATAGATGAAAATGGTAGAGGTCATCCTCTTCGCCGTGGCATCACCATCTTCCTTCTTGACGGCCACTTCCTGCTTGGTCTCAGCCTTGACCTCTGCTCTCGCCCCGCCAAAGGCAACGGATTCATCCTCTTCGGGCTTTACCTCCTCGTCCACAAGCCCTTCTTTCTTGTCAACTCCGCCAACTGTAGTCTGCAAGTCCATATTGGTGTCCTCTGGGGTAACGGGCTCCGTCTTGACGTTCTTCTCGTCATCCACGTGCTCCTCCTTGAATTTCCCAAGCACCTTCTCCATCCGTTTCCTGTAAAACGCGTCCAGGCAGTCTCGTCTCTGCTCTTGCGTCCAGCCTTGCACGGCGACAGCGAATTTCGTGGTGCTTGAGTAGCCGAAATGCCTTGCCATCGTGCAGAACTGTCTGCGCATAACGTCCTCGGGCGGATTAAATTTGTACGAAAAGCCGGGCCCATCTTCGAAGGCCTCGTTGACCAGGGTCTCCGCAAACAACACGCTCTGGCCCTCAGGGTCATCGAGGTCCATCTCCTCTGCGAGCTCAGCGCGCTTCGACAGTTGCGCCTCGATCTTGCTGGTCCCGATGACTTCAGAGTTCTCGTGGGTGTACTCGACGCCTGCCGAGGCAAGGATGGCTTGGATGACATCGTTTTTGGATTCGCTGTCTTTGGGAAGATCCTCCGGATTCTCTGACTTGATCAAGGTAGCCAGCTGGCTGATGCCGTTGTCCTCATCGTCATCGCCTGGTGTTTCTTTCTTGATCTGACTGAATTCATTGTCCTCCTCAACTTTGGCCATATCGATGTCTGCGAGGTGCACACCGGCTCTAGCCTCGGCAATGTTCGTTGCGTTGACTATTTCCTTCAGCACGACTTTGTCGGACTGAAATGTGAACAGGTTCTGTAGCCCAAAGAGCTCGCCCTTTCGATCTGGATCCTGCTGCACGCCCTTAAAATAGCGACGCTCGCTTGAGGCGTTATAGCCGATGTTTGCCTGCTGTTGCTTGTAGATTTGCCTGGCGTACACGATCTCTTCTATGGTACCAGAGGAGACGAGTCGAAAAACCTCGACATCACGGACCTGACCAATGCGGTACGCTCGGTCCTGGGCCTGGAGGTCGTACGAAGGGTTCCAATGTGGGTCGAAGACGACTACCTTGTTCGCCGATGTGATATTCAAGCCGACACCGCCGGCTTTAGTCGAGATGAGGAAGATGAACCGGTCCGGATCCGAGTTGAAATTGTCCACCTCCTTCTGCCGGTCCAAATAGGAAAGACTGCCGTCAAGAAAACTCACAGTGTATGTCGTGGTGCTCGTGAACAAATGATGAAGGATCCTGAGAAGACGGACACTATGAGAAAAAATAAGAACCTTATCGGAATTCTCGTGCCAGAAGCTGAGCATCTTCTTTAAAACCCTCCATTTGCCACAATATTTTGAATCGGAAAGCAACTGAAGCGAGTTCCGGTTTTTATAGAGGGCCTTCCAGTCAGGGACGCACTTCGAGAGCCTATCCAAAGCAGCTTCCCTTTTGTCTTTTGGCTCCTCATCTTTAGGTAACAAAAGCGTCAAGTGATTGGAGATTTTCTGCAGGGTAATGATGGTGGGAAAGACGAGCGCTTGCCACCGCTTCCCATCAGGCAGAAATTCACCGCAACACCAGCCTTGTTTCTTCGGCTTGCCGTTACTGTTGACTGCGCCGCACTCGCATATTTCAGAGCTGTCTCGAATCTTGCGGACTTCCACGCTTTCAAGATGATTTCCCTATGCAAGGCTCTGATAGTCTGTCAGTGGGCAGAACACAACCCTGTCAGATTTCTTTGGCAACTGATGAGCTATCAATGACTTCATTCGACGCAGGAAGAACTCCGGCAAGATCCTCTGGACCAACTTAGTGGCAACTTTTCTTGCCCGACTCAGTTGTTGAAGGGTGGCATCATGAGATTGGCCCACTGTGAGCGGCTTTGTGATTCTCTGATCCCACTCAATGAGAGAGCCAAAGCCAGCAGGGTTGGTCCAGTTGAGAAGGGTCCAAAGCTCCTCGTACTTGTTTTGGATTGCAGTGCCCGTAAGACCTACGCGACAAAGAGCGTTGACCTTATCCATGGCTATCGTGATCTGGGAGCGGCGGTCCTTGATCTTGTGGCACTCGTCAGCAATAACGGCGTCCCATTCGATGAGATTCAGTTTGGCCTCGTCGTGCCTGTATGTTTCGTAGGTCGTGATCATGACCTCCAGGGTACCGTTGCGGGCCGCTGTCAGCGCAGCTCCTTTGCCTGGGCCGTGGTACAGCTCGATCTTCCACCAGCCCCAGCGGTTGAGCTCATTCCTCCAGTTTTCGATGAGAGATCCGGGGCAGATGATGAGGATACGAGGATACCATCTTCCACTACCGTGGCGAGACACCTTCCGGAGCCTTTTTGCATCTCTCTCGTCCCCAGTCTTGCCGTACGCAGCAACGAGGAACGCAGCAACCTGAACAGTCTTCCCGAGGCCCATATCGTCCCCCAAGATACATCCAGTCTGATAGACAAAATGAGTATGTAGGAATTGGACACCTTGGACCTGGTAGTCCCGGAGATACTGTGCAATCGAGGCCGGAATTACACCACCGGACAGGTCCAGAGCGATGTCTTCGTAGGGCCTGCATGGCTCGATATCATCGAATTTGGGTCGCCTATCCAATTCTCGCGGATCCCTCTCGTCATCGGAAAAGTCTATTTCGACATAGTCCGGTGGCAACTTGAGGCCGGCCTCGCACAGCGCCTTCCTGTTTTCGTCGAACAGCCTCCGTCGTTCGCGAATGTGTTCGGGCACGAGTGCGCGGACAAGCCTGTCCCCGTCGATAAATTCTTCGTCGTCATCGTCGCCATTAGCGACAGGATCCTGAAGTTCGTCAGAGAGACTCTTCTTTTTGCCCTTGCCCTTCTTGGCCTTGGAGACCCTGCCGATTGCTCGTTTCCGTTTCTTGCTCTGCATGAACTTTTCGTAGTGGTCGTCGGGTTCGTCGGCAAAGATGTCACCCGGGTCTTCGAATTTTCGCTTGCCAAGGCTTGGAGAGACTGACCGACTACCGCCGGCAGTAGAGGCAGTTGCATCATCGTCTGAGAGCTCAATAGGCTCTGTTGATTGTGGGCGAGACGTCATGGTGCTCACGCGAGCTTGCGGAGACGCGAGCGCGTCAGTTGAGGATGACAGAATCCGATTCCGATCCCCAACCCTTTGGATGCCAAAGTTTTGCGACAAGATTTCTAGACATGCTGTTCAAAATCTGGGCTCCGGCCGCATTGTCAGGAAGGGAAAACGTGGAGGAAATACGAAGCAGTCGATGGAAATGTGACAGTATGTGAATGTACCGTCGAAAGCGGCAGACGTTGAGATGCGGCGCGCTCTAAGTGCCTACTGCTACGCGAAAGCTGTCTGGGTGACAGCTTAACCCCACAGTAGGGTTCATTCCAGGGTCCTAGGGTGGCCCTGCGCGTAACGTCATAACTACAGCTTGCAAGGATCTAAATGCCCTACCAAGCTGTCGTCTTACAGGCGTGACAGGTTATCCCGCAAGAGGTCCTTTCGCATTTGAGAATATCATATGAGGTTGTCATATAGGAGCTTATCCCACAGTAGGTCATCCTATGTTAGGTTGTGCTATGGTATGTTATCCTTTTTTTTTTCCCTTCAGATTTTCTCGTGGGATGTTATCCCATAAGAGGTCATCTCAAAGTAATTAATCTAGAGGTTCTCTCCTAACAAGTCTTACCCATAAATTGGAACCTGGGCGACCTGCAGCATTGCTCACGATGTCTCAAGTAACACGTAAAAATCACTCAGCTGCTCCATGGCCATTTCATCTCGCTCCACCCGTCAAGCCCCGTTCGTCCCGTTCACGCCGTTCACGGCCTTCTTTGCTGGGACAGGCTCCAGACTATCCTTGAGATCCTGCACCCAACTCAGCTTACCCTCCGGGAAGATCTCGCCGCCAGCCTCGAAATCATTGCCGCCTTCAAGCAACAACGTCCGGACAATCACCTTGTCTGCCATGGCGTCTTGGTGGTGGTAGATGTGCGACGTGCACGTGGGGCAGAAGAAGCATCTCACGTCCTTGCCTGTGTTGTCGTCACGTTGTCAGCTCCATTATCATGCCCTCACAACCATCCAGCATCTGTGCGCCACGGAACAAGACTCGAGACTTACCACTTGCGCCCTTATACGTGTAGACACTCGGCCTTCCCTTGGTCACCTTCAAATCCCCCTTGGGCACGATATAATTGCACGAGTACGGGCCGCCCCCGAGCTTCTTGCACGTGTCGCAATGGCATAGAACATGCTTCAGGTCCTCGCCATCAGTCCTGACCTCCCACTCGCATCCCTCGCAATGGCACGCGCCCTTCCACGTCCTCCCACTTTCTCCCGGGAAAGTTACGCCCGCCGGCCTCTTGGCCGCCGGGCCGAACAGCACCCCATCCTTGATATCTACGACAAGACTGTCCTCGATCAGGGGGTGTGCATTGCGGCTGAAATCGAGGTGCACAGGGTCCTTAGTGAGGTAGTAGTCCAGGTCGTCCTGCGAGGCAAACTCGAGCACAAAGGCGTGCGTCATACCCTTTGAGAATGGCTCCCAGCTGCGGTTCTTGCCCATGCGCATCGAGATCATGTACGGGCGCTGTGTCACTGGGTGGAGGCATCGCTGCTGTAGCGCCTTGAAGGTCTCGAAGTGTTCTTCGAATGCTTCCCATGATATGCTGGGCTTGTACTTGAAGAGCACGATGTGCGTGATTACTTGGGTGGACCCCGGCGAAGCCATTGTGGACGCTGGGCTGCTTGAGTTCTGTCGTGACGGTGCTTGCGGTGACTGCGTGAGATTCGATGGTGTGAAAGTCTTTTGTCCTGTCTTCAACGGTACAGCTCGAGGAGGCACTCCTATCGTGGGCGAGTTCTTCGAGGCGCGATTCCTTGGAGGGCGCTCCAGAAGTGATTCGTCGTCCGGACGGTTAAAGAAGCACGAGAACTTCCTCCGGAAGAAGTGCCGATGGTGCTTCGTTGGTCCAATTTTCGAGATTCCTGCAGAGCATACTCCGCGGTTTAAGGAGTCTGAGTGAGGTCCAAAAAGTTGCAAATTATGTCTGCTCAGAGATCACTCACGATTCCTACCAGTTGGCCTTGGTCAGTCCAAGGCATTGTGCAATCGACAACCTGCAGCAACCTCCGGAACAGGGCTTGTAGTGGTTTTGTAGCTCCTGACCGCCTGCAAGCACGCGGTCCACCTACCCAGACTCGCATATTGATGGCATCTTCCCCCGAAGCACGAGAGAGTAAATGCGCCCAAGTTGGTCCCCCATATGACGATGGTCGCGACTGGACTGCACCGTGAAGGGAGATTTCCCCCGCGGGAAACTCTCGGCATTCGCCGAGTATGACCACGACCGAAGCCGCCTACCCCACCGGGTAAGAAAAGGCACTTATATCCGGCGAAGTGGATCATTGGATCTTCAGGAACCTCAGATACGATTTCAAGAGGTCCTCTTTCACCTAGTAACTTGTAATCATCCCCGCTTTCCAACTCGCTACTCACTCAATAGGGATAGGCTGCGGCGAAAAACCAGGCTTGGCACCTTGATCCTTGGTTCACCGGCGTCTCCTATTGTCTCCATGCTCATGGTTTTAATACACTTGTCGAGCGTATGATATCGAGTTCCTTCGGCGCGCTGATATGGGTTTGTGTTCTGCCTCATTCAGTATCCCGCGGGCCTGAAAGAATCACTCTGACGAACAAGCTTCAAAGGCGACCACTCTTACACGATGACTTTGCCAACAGCAGTAGTTTGGGCAACGCGTGAAGTCGAATCTCTTACTGAGTGTCATGGGCTCCCACGAGCAATTAGCATTTGTGATTATTTCGATAACTTATTTTGAAGACTTGCTTGCATGCCTTGATGCATTACCATGTTATGTTATAGGTTCACATTGATTCCTTACTCACCTTGAAATGGTGCAACTGGATTCGGACAGATCTGCTGCGACAAGCCTCAAACGAAATGACAACGGGCAGGTCTTTAGTGAGACTTGGTGGTGAGGCATCCAATCGACCACCAAAGATATCAATGAGTCCGTAGGAACTGCGGACAGGACCAAAACCCGGGAAGATCGATGAAGTGTGGCCCTAATGCCGCGGTGGAGTTCGTCGCGGTGGGCCTACTTCCCCGATACTATCTGGTAATACTTCTACTTATCAGTTACAAATTTGAGCCTTGTTCGATGCCGCGTTCAGGCCTCTATGAATCAATTTCCGCGAAGACGAAACTGATTCTTTTTCTTCAATGTTGCTCCACGCAGAATTATAAGTCATTCATACAACGATTGGACAAAATATTGATCAGCATTCGCGAAGGGCTAAGTTCCAGATTCATCCTCGCGGTCCCCAAGCCAAAACTCGAGAAAGAAGATGCTTAGGTTCCGCTATATTATGAAGTCATTCAACAAGGAAATCATATAAAATGACCATAAGTACACTCGTGGCAAGTGCAGAACCAGCAGCGAAGGTCATTCCAAGACCCAGTCAATCCGCTATTGCAGGAGTCGAAGCATTATATGCCATCGAGGTACTCCTGCATTTCCTTCAGCCTCAAAAATTCGTCATTTTCTCCCGGAATTTTCAAAATTCGATCGATCAGACGAGCTTTTAGAGAAGCATGCGTAAAAGACAGAGTTGCCCATACCTTTATGATAGCCTCAAAAAGCTTCGTCTAACCAACCTAATCAAATTTACTAAATGATCGAACACAAAGATAGGAGATTTTGAGGGGGAAAGAAGGCATGAGCAACAATTTGTGGCAGAGCTGAAGTAAAGGATACTGAGTGTTATTCCTGGAAATATGTATGAACATTTTCTTCTTCTTTCTGAAGAATCTTTTTGGACTAGTAATATGCCCAAGCGATGAGATCATCGTTGATCCTCCCCTGAAATCGTTGAAATGAAATGCCGACAAGCTAGAGACCTATATTTTCGATCGAGACATCGCGGGTTCTTGCGGTCCGAGGTCTTTCTCTTACCCAGACTGCTCTTCATTGCAATGCTTCAGCCCTGAAGTCAATGTAACCTCAGCGACAATTTTCTTCGACACGTGTAAGTACTCTCATCATGAAACCACATGATTCAGGTACCATTCCTCGATCATGGATAGCCTCTTGACTGACACTGGTCGTTGGAGTTCCTAAATGATTCATCTCAAGCAGCACGTGGGACAGATAAATTGCAAATGAGGACTTTAACAAGACAGATATTTTTGTTCCTCGCATCGAATCATCAGTTGTAATGAACATTTCTTTTGATTTTCCATTGCTATCTACTCAGCCAAAGTTATTGCCAGGTATGCTATGTCAATACTACTACTTAGCCTCAGCGGCAACGCCCAGATCCTTCTCAACCATAGCCCTGCAGATAGGGTGATAGAAGTCCTTGTTCTTCTCGAAAGTCTTGACGGCAAGGTCTCTGTCGACCTTGTTGAGGGACCTGAAGAGCGGGCGCACGAACTTCATGCGGCCGACCTGGCCCAGAAGCTCGGCGACGAGGGGGTATGTGCTCGTGACCTTGGACCGCAGGGCAATATGGAAGTAGGCGGCCTTGAGCTCGACGTTCTGACTGCTGAGAAACCCGTAGACATCTCCCATCTTCTCCGCCTGCGCGGCACTCAAGGGCTCGCTGAAATCCTGGACTTTGCCGAGGAAGACGAGCTTTTGGTTGGCGGCAAGGCCCTCCACGTCTTTGGCAGAAGGATTGAAGTCCTGGCGCTCATGTCAGTATCACTAGTGGAGTGATCGAGATGTTTCAAATACCTTGTCTTTCCATTGGTCTGCCAGCTTGTAGCAGACATCGATGAGCGAAGTGTCAAACTCGGGCTTTGGAGGCAGCCCGCGGCTGTAGAATCGAGTCTCCCAATCGATTTTGGCAATCTTGTCTTTGAGGTCAGAGTATTCTGGTGCGCTGAAGAATTCGAGGAAGGTAGCTTTGAAGTCGTAAGAGTCCAAAGACTTCCTGGACCACTTCTCAAAGTAGTAAGGAATGAACTTGTCGAAGTTCGATCTGCCAACAAGCCTTTCCAGGAAATAGATCATGTGGAAACCTTTCTCATAAGGAACGGTGCTGAAAGCATCGTCGGGGTCAATACCCTTGTGAGGGATAGAAAGTTGTGTGTACTCATGGTCCTTTCCATATTCCTGGATGGCGTCCTCTGCATGTCATATTAGTAACCTGCTGCTCTCATTCATGTGCTTCGTTCACTCCCAACTCACCAAGATGCTTCCATCCGATTACAGCAGAGAAGTCGAAGTGAGCGGGACCGTGAATTGAGGCGTTTATACGACGCTCCAAGTACATTGTCCAACCTTCATTCAGCCAGCTTGAAGTAACGTCAGTCGAAAGACTTTGTTGGGTAATGTGGCAAAGACTCACAAGTGCTCCCAACTACAACTTGTAACCAGGTTTCCGCTCCAACTGTGGCTCAATTCATGAGCAATGACGTCCACATTCTGACGATCACCAGAAACGACGGTGGGGGTTGCAAAGGTGTAGATGGGATTCTCCATGCCTCCGTAAGGGAACGACGGAGGCAGGACGAGAACATTGTATTGTCCCCATTGGTAAGGGAATACCAACTTCTCGGCTGCCTCCATGAAGGTCTCCATGTCATGCTCGAACTCCCACTTGGCGCCCTCCAGCTTGTCAGGGCTGGTGGCCACCAGAGACCGGGGCCCGATCGACGCGGTGGCAATGTCCCCCGAGGCCAGCGCGAAGAGATACGAGGGGATAGGGACCTTCTGCTCGAAGCTGTAGAGCTTGTCACTACCGCTCTGCGACTCAGGCTCGCCGGAAGCGACGCCGCTTGCCACGACCACATGGGGCGAGGTGATCCGGAACGAGTAGGTAGACTTGATGTCGGGGGTGTCCTGACAGGGGAACAGAGACCGCGCATGGATCGCCTGGCATTGCGAGAACATGAAGGGTGCCTTCTTGTTTGAGGTTTGCGCAGCCGTCAGCCACTGCAGCGCGGTGCACTTGTCCGTCGTGGCCAACTCGATATCCACCTTGATCACCTCTGACTTTGCCGCACCAGCAGGCACGGCGATGTGGACCGGCGAGCCCAGCGGCTCCGCTCGGTCCTTGACTTCCCACTTGGTCTCGCCCGAGTTGACCTTGACGGATGATACCGCGAGATAGCTGGAGTCAAGGATGATCTCCTTGGATTCCTTGTCCGTCTGCGACTCAAGCTCAAGCGTGACCACTCCGCGGAGGACCTTCTCCTTGAAGTCGAGCTTGAGGTTGGCCGTGGTGTGCTTTGTCCGCCACGCGTCGTAATTGGACACGGTGCTGGGGTCCCTGACAGCCATGTTGGGCTTGTAGAAGAAGCGAACCTGGACTGAAGCTCTGACGATGAAGGGCAGACGAGATGGAGCCTGACCTGGATGGCAAGCTCGAGGAGAGGCGGCTGAGAAGATGCGAGGACCAGTCTTGACTCCCTGGAACAGAGAGGTTCCCCGCAACAGCATAGAGAATTATTTCCTGCAGGCGGCGATGTGGCACGACGCTTGTCACCACTGTTGGCCCAGCAGCAAGGCTATCACCGGCTTCAAGCCCGACAGCAGCGAGCCTACCCGCTCTCCTGCTTATGTAATATCACCACTCACAGGTGGGGCCTCGGTTTGGCGGGGTCAATTTTACGTGCTTCCGCGTCCTCTTCCACAAATTTCATGAGGCACTCGTCGTCAACAGCTCACTCGCATTGATTTTCGCCCCCTTTGTCCATTTTCCCTGATTCATGGAGCTCGTTGCACCCAGAGTGGTCTATGTCTGAGTCGTGGATGTGATTGCAATGCTGCTGAGTGAATCCAGCAAACATTTTCGAGTCCGAGCCGGGCTACCAAACATGTTTCGACTACTTCCCGTACCTCACCAACACGAGAGGCCGGTGCTTTGCAGTATCCCGTCTTTGTCACACCTTTTTTCGACTGAGCATTGAAACAGGCGTACCTCGCCGAAGGCATTGCGGTATGGGAAACGGCCAGTCCGAAGATTTCGTTTCGAGGTGATGTGAGCTGCCAAGCTGTTCCAATGGGAGGGGGAGACGGGGGGTCGAAGCACTTGGGATGAAAAGCTCCCGAGCGACCTGCTTGCTTGCTGACTTGACAGCAAGAGAGGATCCTACTGCCTGCATGCTTGCAACACGAAACTTCATGCCGACTGGCGGTTTGAGATGACGTGCCCGCAGGGCATCCCTGGCAGCCAGGAGGTCTAGTGCCTGCGTCAAAACGTCCTCAATGCTCACATACGGCATTGCATCCAGTCCCTCATCTCAAGTGGGTGATGATGTCCTGCACGATCTACGATAATCTGTGTTGCTTATCCGTCCATTTTGGGGCTGGGTCAAGTGACCGAGAGGAGACGAGCGCTCGGATGCCATCGTGTGCTATTTTTGCCCCGCTTCGTCCCAAAAACCAGCGACCCTGGGGCCGGGTGCCTTGCAGGTGGCGTTTGTCGAGGGACTGTGCGGTTGCTATCACGGCATCATTTGACATGATCGCGGTAACAACGGTGTTGTGCCAGGCGGATATCATGCAGTACCCCTGGGCAGCTGGGCACCCACGGTGATGCATCACCTGCGGACTGGAGGCTCATCCCCATGTGAAGGCTCCATGTCTGCATGAGGCATGTCGGCCGGAGATGCACTCCGCCTCGTTGGAAGGGTACGACGACGAGCTACTGCGACAAGATGCAGGCGACTGTCTCGGACGCTGGCCTGAAGCTTGTCTGTAATGCGGCATAAAACATTGATGGCATTATCGAGTTGAACTTCATGAGCTTTCTACCATCCAGCAAGAACTCGGTTGATATGTGCAAGCAGGCCCTGATATGGTGGACTTGGCTGACGAAGACATCAGACAACCAGAGGTGTGAGCTTACCCCACCCGGTATGAGATGAATGAACAGAGTCGATCCCTTCCCTTGCGGTGCAATGGGTTTCATAAGAGATATCGCCAACCGCAAATAGTGGTCGAAGATGTGCTGAACAGACATGCGGGTTGAGTGAGTGTTGTCGACAGCTCACTACGTTTGACTCGCACATCGTGGGAGATATCACGGGACCCGGCCTATAGTCGGAAGTCTCGACCTCCTGCAGAAACGAAAGAGGATCGGCTACCCGATCGTCGAGCAAATTTCCCCATCGCTGAGAGTCCTCCTCCAGGGGAGGTCCGTGCTCTGATATCGAGCTCAAACCCGACGAGCCTAGGAGCCTAGGGTGCTTGTGGGCCAACGCAGACCAGCACTGTCATTGTTTGCAACGGTAGTACAAATTACTGACTCAAAAGCATGGACCTCGTGTTCTTCTTGGATGATGAGGATCTCTAGTGATTGGGCTTGTGCGCTGGCTTGTATGACCATCAATACGATGACATGTTTCTAGAAGACGACTCCCAGATTCTCAACGCTACGAGGGGTGGTAGAGTGCAGCTCGACCCCTTTGCCAGCTTGTCGCAGTGTCCTTGGCATCCAGGAGCCCCGAGCCTTGGCTTGGGCGTCAAGCTTTTCTCGCCGGCCCAGGCACCGGGAGCAGCCTCTCAAAAATAGTCGCCCCCACTACGACGACGACGGTGAGGGACCTGACAGAATCAGGCAGGGCAGTAGTAATCTCCCGGCACGGCCTCAACGACTATGCTCAATGCTCGCTTCGGGCGCTTTGATGGATATTTTCAGCCGTGGGCTCTTCAAGCCACTATCACGACTCGTAGTCGAGTGATCACCTGGGAGGCTGTTGCTGTGATCTACGTGCAGGAACCGGTGCCATGAGGAACAATATCACTGCAGCACCAAGACCACCTTGGGTAGACCGACCCGCACGGCGGAGGCTAGTCCGCCAGCCTCCAACTGACCGAGCTGTACCCAAGTACCCGTCCAGGGTGAATCTTCAACCAGCGTGGGCTTGACTTTTCCCGTTGAAACGTGGTCGTCTCCGTCTCTGCATGACGCTAAAATGGCACACTATACTACACATGGGGCTCTCAATAGGAGACATCATCCTGCAGCCACCAAGCTCTTTGAGAGGTGGGAGGGGAGCTTTTTAAGCTACCCCTCATGGTTCCTCGGGATATTTCCACGCTTATTAGCTCTGTTCCAGATGTTGGAAACGGGGGAGCATGCATGCAGAGCAGGTTGTTTGGAGGGTGCAGGACGTCAGAGGTAGAAAGGCCCCGGGGCAAGGGTCGGTTTGACACTGACGGGCAGTCTCCACGATGCTGTGTCAAAGCCAAAACCACACGGCACTGGGGGATCCCCAGGGTCCCCAGCCAAACTCTATTCCGTCGGGCCCAGTCGGTAGGGGTTCTCGATCGCCGGCCGGGGTTGGGAGCTGCGAAGATCCCTCCATGTGGCCGAGGATCCCTTGGCCACCTGCACCGCAGCTCGACTCGTCCGCATCCTCCTCCCCACCGAGAGGACGGGCTCCTTGGTCTTGCATGCAGCTGTTATCGCGGCGGACAGGACAGGAAAACGTCCGAGTCGATCGGCCTATGAGAGACCCACTGGCGACAGCCTCAGGCCGCAGCTCCTTGCCTCCACGGGAGCTTGGGGGGAGGGGGAAGGGTTCGAGAGGAATGAAACCCTGGCAAGCAGGGGTTCCTTTGCAGCGTGCTTACGTAGTTCAATGCAGGTGCAATGCTGGGTATGGGGAACTGTTGTGCTGCTTCACTCACTCCTTCACCTTGGGATTCCCGGTCGAGGATTCTCATTCTCTGACCTCTTTGACGTGCGCGATGGGGTAATAAGTGGCTCACCTCGTAAGCCAAAACGAAGCAAACGCCGTTGCCTGTCGGCCGGCCCAGCAAATCCAATCTGATGTCGTACCACACGGTCTACCGGTCCCGAGTGCACTGATGCCAGAGATTAATCGGCAAGGAGCATCTGCTCAGGGCACCCCGGCCACGTTCAACGGCCGGACGCACAAGGGAGAAAGGAAACGAGGGCATGAAGGGCCTGGAAGTTGCTGAAACATTGTTCTGTCCCTCACCCCGCACTTCGCTCGAGTGGAAGGGGAGAAGGGAGGAAACAAGGCGTGGCTCGTCCAAAAAATCCCAAGCCCGCCTGGTTGGGGGCGCCGCGCCGGAAATTGGCCCCGAGCTGTCGGAGCAGGGCCAACAGGAAGGATTTTGTTCTAGTGTAGCCTGGGCCCATTCCCTGGTTCAGATGATGATTAAATGTTTACGGCAGCACACTAAAATTAATAACCGGCAATAGGCAAGGTTTCGGAGCGGTCGCCCCAACCAGACTCAGGCGTCTTGTCCCATTCGTTGTCTTCTTTTTTGACGGCCGTAGTCGACCCGTGGTGTCGGGGTCCCCCCAAGGACTGACGAGCTGCGGGCCTCGCCTACAGCAGCCGAAACCTTATCCTTTTGGGTTAAGTGCAGGCGCCCTTTATCAGAAACTGCGCTCCGGCTGGGACAGGCACGTCTTTGACGTCGAGGAACGAACCTGTTACCAACCTAGTGAGCCGCGATACGACGACAGGTCTGGACCAGTCTCCCAATACGAATGGGCTTAGGGGGAGAGTAGTGAACAAGCAAGCTCCTTCGGCTTTCTGGGCATGGGGGTTTTGGGGCCGACAGCTAGACGGACGCGGGTGGGATGGAGCCAAGGCAGGCTGCGTTATCCCTGGGGGAAGGACGTCGTTGGAATCTCTGCGACGTGGTGATCGGTACAATAGCTTGAGATTGACGAGGTGCATCCCGGCCAACCCGAGACAGTCGGCTCCGAACTGGAAGACTCATTGGCGGCGCGAGTCTGGCAACCGCCGGGGATGGCGCCGATTTGGCACCCAGAACGCCTTGCTATCTGGTGGAGATATACGATATTGGACCAGCAAGTGAGGCTTTCTTTTCACCAAGCTCGCCCTCGGGTGTTTTTACCCGACGCGAGGGCGAGGCAGGAGTTTGCTCGTCGGCAGGGGTGACTGTCCGCAGGGCCTATCTCTTCGCCCTGATTACTACGACGACGACGGTATTGAGCCGACGTAGCAGTTCTAGTTGTGCAACCTGATCAGCGGAGCAACGCCGGGTGAGTGGGCAGGTTGCTGGAGTCGCATTCTGTGTGTAACAAGCAGAGCTGCCAGCCCTGGCTGCCGTACCGGTTTCCGACTGTGCGCACCGACTGCATGAGCGGCCTGGCGGCTAATCGCTATGCCAGCCCACCTGTTGGCGGTGCTGGGACTTTAATTGCTGCTGCTGCTGGTGACAGGCAAGGGGCAGTAGGAGGGTGATCACCATGCCTAGACCGGGCACCTGTCAGCGATCCCAGCGATCCCCCTTGGGAGAACAGCAGCAGGTGGACTGGGGCGTTTCAT